GTGCCTCCCGAGCAGCCTGCCACACCTGGGCTCACTCGGGGGACCCCGGGGCACTCTCTGCTAGACAAGGAAGCATGTAAAAATGGAGTTGAACCAGAGCCACCCCATGCTTAAGGAGTGAGAACTAGTGACAGCCACACACGGAGCCTGCTTGCTGGGTGCTGTCGCGTTTCTCCCACCCCAGGGGCAGGGGCTACTCTGGGTACGAGAGACAGCATACACAGGGCGCCCACAGGCCGCTGGTCGGTGAGAAACCAGGCCCCTAAGCAGACAGTGGCTCTGACCCTCTGCCCTGCGCCCCTCGGCTGGGCTCCGTCTAAAACAACAGCACAGGTTTGTGGCTTTCCAGGAGGCAGAACCCTGGCATCTAAATGGCCCCTGAAATGCCAGCCTTTTCTGCCCCCACCCCTGCTCCAGCACTCCCCGCAGCTGCCCTTTCTCTCACGATGCTCTGGACCCCACGGGAGCTGAGTGTCCGGGAGCTCTGGGTGTTGACGTCCAGCGCAATCGCCAAGCAGAAGCTCCACCACGTACCACGGCTTGCCTCCCGAGACTGGCCATGAACTTACCTGGCCTTGAGTGGATCCTCAGGCTTCTGCCTCCAGAAAGAATTCTCTGTTTGGCAGTGTTTCCTGATGAATGGATTTTCTTCTCACCAAGGAGAGATGATTTATAGGCTCTTTCTAACAATAAGTTGGCTTTTCAAGGAACACTTCCCGTTTTGCATCCTTCTGTTGCCTCCTTGGGAGAGGACCATGCCTCCTTCCTGTCTCCCTGTAATCACTCAGCGCTCACGCTCAAGTACATCAGTCCTCGGTGCCCACTTCCTTAATGACGTTTTCCTCTGCACAGTGGGAAATGGCATTTCTGAAATGTGTCTGCACTCTCCAGTTGGCCACATGACAGTGCATACCGCCATGACGAGGTCCAGGTGGGAAGGACTGAGGATGAACTGACCTTGCCGCTTAACGGGAAGAAGAGGCAGGTGGAAAGGCCAAGTGTGTAGGGCAGTTCTACAAGGACAGTGGGAAGACTTCCCGCTTCACCTAAATGTTACAAAAGCATAATATTTGAATTACATTTAGTGATTTCTGTGTGGTGTTGATTATTGGGACAGTTATCTTCATGGAAAGAGTGAAAAAAATGTCAATACGTTCTAACAGGTTTGCACGGACTTGGTTTAATCAGGTATAGGCCTGAACTCAAACACAAACAAACAAATCAACCACCTTTAGAAGAATGCATTGGTTAGGACCAAGTTTGAGGAGACGGGATGTTAGTGGAACTTAAAAAGGAGACGGGACATGAGAGCCTTTCAGGAAATAGGCTGTAGAAGTCTGAATCTAGGGCCCCTGAAGGGCTTTCTCATCCTGAAGAAAGGGAGGTAATGAACCTGGCTAGAACAGGGCAAATCCTAAAGAAGAGATGCTTGGCAGACATATTAGTCACATTGTCATTATTATAACAAAATACTGGACTCAGGCTGCATTATAAAGAAAAAAGGGTTATTATATTTAAACCCTTAAAGGCTGGAAGTCCAAACAGCATGAGTAGGCTCTGGCAAAGGCCCCTGTGGCTGTATCACATCGTGGTGGGAGCATGTGTATATTTCTGTGTGATTTCTCTCTCTTTCCACCTAACCCCCAAGGCTCAACCATGAGGATTCTAATATAATGACCTTATCTAATACAATTACTTCCCAAAGATCCCACATCTAAACACCATGGTGGGATTCGGTTTATATTCTCTTAATATCATTGGCATAATACTTTGGGGATTAAACTCTTGCCTGTGTTTGAGTGGGAAAATCCTATGGAAACCAGGGCAGTAGAAGAGAAGAAAAACCTTCTAATATGATTTTGGCAGATCTCATATTACTTTGACAGATACAAGATAAATCAGATTTATCCACCTGTATGGCTGGTGAAGCTATGGTTTTGTGATTGCTTGTAAAATTTTATAAAGGATTATAATTTTTCTTTTGGCTATTAAAAAAAGTTTTGCTTCTTTTGAAAAACAATATTACGTCACCAATTGCCTCCGTGTATTTTAATTGAAAAGGGGAAAGGTTAGTTAGGTCGTGAGTGGGGAGTTGCTTGAATTCAGAAGTCAGTGCGCAGGATGAGGTGTCAGAGGTCACGCATTCAGACTCTGCTGCTGCGGGGATGCTGTTGCTTTGTAACTTCAGGCCAGACATTTAAGCTCCTCATATCTCAGATACAAAGAGCCTGGAAACCAGATGCTAAAATGACTGTTTAAATAAATAAAGCCTTCAAAAATGTTTGGGTATTTCGTGTCCGGGAAGGGTTGTGCAATTTTTAAGCAGCATGTAATACTTGCGGAGGGTTCCAGCCCGCAGTGTTTGACTGCCTTGCTGTCCCCACAGTTGAAGGCAGACGGCAAATCTCATGAGGGCTTCTCCGTTAGAGGAAGATGGACCAGTGAGCGGCTACCTTCATGACTTTATTTGCATTTTAACAAACAACATTCATTAATTGCCTGCTTATAAAAGGGATCTAGCTTTTCCTGAAAAGTTGGAATCCAGCAGAAGGCAGAGATTGAAAAACTGAAAACGCTTTCCTACGTACTGATTTATGCAACGTGTCTCTGTACGGGCACTTTTTTTTTTTTTTATATTTTCAAAAATGTGGTCATGAAATTTATTTATAACATAGAATTAATATTCTTTTCTAATAGATGTGAATCTCCGTGGTATTCTTTTACACTAATGGCTGCATATGTTTTCCTAGTGGGTGCCATAACCTGGTAGCAGTCTGTTACTGGGGATCGTCTAAGTGGCTTATATTCTTCTGTTCTTGGAAACCTCCCCTTGCATACATATCCCAGATCACTGCACAAAACAAAATCCTGCAAGTGGTCTTTAACAGGTTGGAAACTGTGGCTTTAGTTTAGTTGATGTGTTTCTGTTTTGGTGATCGACTGTTCAAATCCTTTCTCATTATTTCGTTTCCTCGCCTGCCCACTCCAGGTTTCTTCTTGGATTGCTTAAGAAACATTTTCCCATAAACTCTCTTTCCAAGTTTTATTGGCCTTGCATCCTGTCTGTAAATTAATTAGGGCATCACAGCAGGTTCACAATAGTAACGCTTCCTGTGTAATAACGCAGTGCAACTTTTTATTGATCAAGTTCGTTTTTTCCTGACTTTGGTAAATCTGTTGTTCTGTACATAATGAATTCCGTAATTTACATTCTGCTTACTTCCAAATGTAATTTGTTTTCAAAATTTTGCCTGAGGAAGTTTTAACCAAATTTTCTATGTCAAAAATTACGTGTGTGTGTTTATAGTTAATTTTGTGTGCCTTTTAAGTAAATGGCCAACTGTACTGTTGCATTGATCTTAGTGCTTACTGATTTTATTGGTCTAATAAACACGAATCTTCATTCATCTTCAGATGGTAATTCTCATAACTTTCCTGCCCTCCTCGCTATGACTGGACGTTGGAGGGGAGTAAGCATCACGCTGCTGCTGTGGTCCCCATCTGGTGGTCACTTCCATGATGTGCCTCTAGGATTTCATTGAGCGCCATTCTGAGAGTTGTTCTGGATCGGAATGTTTCCTTACTGTGCCGTTCTCTCCTGGCTGCATTTACATCTGCATGCTTCCTCTGCTTTGTTTCTTCTGATTCTGTTTAGATACTTTCCCTCACTTTTACACCATTTTTTGGATGGTGGAGTTCTGTGTGGTTTTTCAGTATCCCATTTCTCTCCTAATCCTCATAAGCATCCTGATAATTTGCTGTTGGTTTCTACTTTAGATCTATCAAGGCCAGAGCTTATGCCTCACCTGCTCTATATGCCTCCCTCCATTTGCATTGTCTCCTCATGGCCCTGGGGGGGCTTCATTTTGCTGGACCTGTGGGTCATGGGAATGACCGCGTTGTGCGTTCTTGGGTGGACGGTGCTGGGGAGACTCAGGAGGGCTGATGGGCAACAGCTCCTTCCAGGGTTTTCTCATCATTGACTTTGTGTCTACTTATTATGTGGTTTCAGTACTTCTTGAGGGCATTAAAGTTTCCAGCTGCAGTTGGGTCTTATTATATGGAGGGGAAAACAGGTGGTGTTTGCTCCTGGGCTCTGAGGCTCTGCTGCCACCAGCCTCCCTGGTCCAGGGCCAATCGCTCTCCTCATGAATAGACTCCATCATCATGATGTGATGTCCTTTTAAGATTCTTGGCCAAATGCCCCACTCTGAGGAGATCATCAGCGAGGGATAGCCACTGTAGTTTTCTTCCGGTGAGGGCTCACATGGGGTATCTTTTTTCTGTTTTTTAACTGGAAGCCCACGTGGACAGGTGCCTATCCACCAGTTCTCAGACGTCAGCTTCTGGGGCACCAGGGAAGGTGGGGACAGGTAGTGGGATGCACTGGGACCCACATGAGACTCCTGGTCCTGGGAGGAGGGGTGTCCAGGCCGTGGTGCTGGAGGGGGATGGCCCAGAGGGATTTTTGAGGCAGAACCAACAGGACGGACGTGTGGAGTGGGATTGGAGGGGCGGGGCGAGGTCAGGATGGCTGCCAGCTGCTGCCCCAGGACAGAGCCCACTCCTCTGGTGGGGAAGTCAGCACCAGGCTGAGTTGAGGGAGCAGCCTCAGTCATGCTTCAGAGACCATATGTCCAAGGCAACTCTGAGACGGCCACGAGGAGATGTCCCCAGGATGACACTCTCACAGTATGTGCCTTCTTCCAATAGCCCTCTAGAATAGGAGGAGTAAGGCTGGTGAGAGGGGGTCTCAAGGTCACCGTGTTTACCCTCTTCTCTAATAGCAGAGAGGGGTAAGCAGATTGCAGTGTTGAGGGGAGAGATGTGCATCTTCCTTGTCTGCAACACTTCTGGCATCCCTACAAATTCAGATATAACAGTGCTTCTTGAAAACCGTAAAATTTTATCTGTGCAAGTCCTTCCTCTGGACTGCAGCTAGCGGGTGAAGCCTGTTGGGCACTTAGCGCCACCTCTCCTGCTCTTACACTGTCTCCACTTCCTCTACCAGGACGCACGGTTGGAACAGGATGGGGTCTTTTCACAGGAGAGACTTGCTGTTCCCTCCAGAAGGATCTGCATGGGAAGAGGCCAGGTCAGGAGGCAGATTTCACTGCATTGTTTTCTAGCGACCACAAGAACTATTTGGTGTGCTTAGTCGGGGTCTGACTTCCCACCTTCTTTCGCTCTTTCGTTTCATCGTACTGTCTGTGGGATTCTGGGTCTGTCATTTTTAAAGGAATCACCAGATGGGAAGTTGCACCTGTTTGTGTTCTTGTTGCCAGAGTTCACGACCTTGAGTGGAGGATGACCTGGAGATGCAGGCTGTGTTCTCTGGGTGCCTCTTGTGTGCGGTCAGTCATGAAGCAGGTAAAGGAAGAGCCCCACCTGGCAGCAACCTTGGCCCTTGCAGGCCACGACAGCACCTTCACCAGGGCCAGAGGCAGCACGAGCTGCTCATGGAGGCCCTGGAATTGGGGCTTGGGAGAGCTTTTAAAGATTCAGCCTTATCTGGTTCTCCATTTTCCTGTGTTTCTCTGTTTTTAGGTAAAATACCTTTGTCCAAAGCATTGTCTGGGCCATAGGACCAGAGCCAGTGTCTGTGAAACCAACAGCGCCGTATGGGGACTGTCAAGTCATTGCTCTCCTCTTAACGACCAGTGAGTGAAGGAAATCCATGAGCCTTTTCAGTCCCATCAATCATGTGCACATATCCCAGCAGGCACTGATTGCTTGTGAGTGTACACAGCTGCGAACCCAAGGGAACTTGGTTCACTTCATTCTGTCTTTTACCCCATATGGTGCCTGGGAGAGTAAAATAAAGATGTCAGGACAGAGCAGAAGTGACGTGCTGTGGCATTTCTAAGCCTCTGTACATTTGCTTCACCCACACTGCAGACTCAGGGCTCTTCTCTTCTTCTTGGGCTCTGCCCGTGGTGTTCCTGCACCCTGTGGTGGACTGGGTTGTGCTGGTCACTGAACAGTGGCTGCACTCCAGGCCAAGCACAGAGACCATGAGATGGCTACCAAGGCTCTGGACTCTAGCCGATCAGAGTCTTTGAACAAACTCTTAAACTAGAGCCTGCACGGCCGGTGACCAGCATCTAAGGAAACAGAAGTCCCCAGGAAAATACTGCCATCTTTAACTTCTACAGCCCTGTTTATGTGCTTACGCGTGTGCGAGTGTGTACGTGCATAATCCTAATGCTTAAAAGATGTATTTAAACCAGTCAGGAACTCAAATATCGGTGACATGGATAGTGTGCCTTTGTTGCTCAATCAATGTTTACTGAACTGTTTGAATGAAAATGGAAACACACTTGATAAGGCAATATTGTTTTGTCAGCTAATGGCTTATGGCAAGGCTGAGCTGAAGGCACACAAAGGCACCTCTATTTGCAGGGGATTATTCAACACAACGCACACTGATGATGTTTTCCTAAAGGGAGAGTCTCTAGCCTGAAATAATTTGGTACCAGAAGTATGTTTATTTTGCCCTGATGACACACACTGAAGTAATACAAAGGGGTGATGGATTTTACAGTAAGCGCCCATGGCTGTATTCAAACACTACAGCCCCCTGCTTGATCTGGGCTGCTTCTTAAATGACCAGGACATTTGATAGCCATCTGCCACCCAGCCTGAGAGCATGGGTGTTTTCAACTTGAGGTGCTGGAGTATCATTTACAGTAGTGAAATGCACCCTGAACTTAGAATTAATAGGACCTTAAAGAATTCAATATTTATGTCTTATTTTGTAAATATAATTTATAAAAATATTTTCATCTGCTCTATAATTGTCAGAGTCGAGGTGATTAAAACTTAGCAGTGACCATGATTAGACTTATGGTGTATTATTGGAGCTGTCCTTGAGTTCTAAAGTGGGTTATTATATCCTTGTTTCATGAATGTATTTCATGTGTTGCTGCTTGCAGGGGTTCGAGTTCAGCATGAGGTCTTACAAAACAAAAGTGCAGCTTTTTAAAAAGGGGCACATTTGAAGACGAGGGATGAGGCCGGAAGGACTCAGCCATCGGTCTGTAGATGTGTTGGGTTGGCGTGTTCTCTGCTGCTCAGGCGCTGGGATCATAAGCTTATTTACTCATGTGTAAAAATAAAACCCAGCTACTACCTCCAGAGCCTTCTAATTTTAGCTGTGGTCTCACAGCTTAGGGACGATGTTCCATCAATATCACTCACCTTGTTTGTTTGTAGAATGGTGCAATCACTTAGGGAGCTGATTTTAAAAGACGCTCTCAGAGTCATGATTGAGGTCAATTATTACAGTTCCAAGTCCATCCATGTGTGAATTTTTCTTCCGATTCAGAAATGTGTAAGATTTGAATTTTTAAAAAACGCTGGTATAGAGGAAGCCTGTGAATGGAGACTTTACCACTTGAGGAATCCTGCAGAGAGCGCTCTCGTTTTTCAGTGATTAAAAACTCCAGTGCCTTTCAAGAACAATTTGCCTTCTGTCTTGGGAGGACCAGTTGCATTTTAAGCTGTCATCAACCAGAACGCTGCAGAACACCACCCAGGGCCATTGGCTGTCGGAGGTGCAATGAGTTTGGGGAGCTCCTTACCACACAGCAGTCTGCACTGCTCCTGAGGGTGACCTGGGATTTGGATGTACCAGGGCCCCAGGAAGATGACACATGTGGGGCAGGGTAGGGGACAGTGCTGGAAGGTAGCAGGGGCAGGCATTTCCAAGGCGCTGCCTTGCTGAGCCCATCCCTTGCCTCCTGCACCCCCAGTGGAGCAAGCTGCCCCTCGTCCCTGCTCTCCTTCCTTAGGTGAACAGCCTCTTGCTTCTGTGCAGGGCAGTTTTCTGTTACTTTGTGAGGCCTCAGTGGTCTGCAGTTATCCATCTCTTAACCCGTAACAGCAAGTACCAACTGCACGTTGCTGAAAATTTTACAATGGTTTTCCATAGAGCAGATTCCTTTTATGGGCGAAGAGACTCAAGTTAGGTGGTACTCCTGCAGGACATCAGAACGCACTTCTCACTCATCTGCTCATGGATGGAATCGGCTTCCTTTTCATAAAATATACCGCTAAGGCAATTATAATGGCCCCAGTTCTATCCCACTGAGTTGCCACGTATGGAAGCCTGACTGTTGATGCCACTACAAGTCCTCCAAGTGACCAGTTAAAAAATAAATCTGCAGCATCCGGGATGGACTTGTAATCTAATAATACCCAACTAGAAAATCAACTGGGGAGAAACCGATGCTTAGAATGTGCAAAATTACCACCTTTTGGAAGTAAACACTATAACAAGTGTTTATCACCTGACAAAGACAATATTGAAATCATCATTGTACCTACTGCTGTAAAAGGAGCCCTGTGTCCTGCTGTGGAGGGACAAAGTTCCACACCCTTCCTGGGACTGCGCAGAAAGAGGCTGCTGTCTAAGCACATCACAGAGCCTCTCTCCTGTTCCTCCACCCTCACTCCCAGCCCTAACCTGTGGCCAGTCTTACTTCACTGGGAAGGTTTTAAGAATCTGAAGCACTTCCACAGCGTGTCCATCAACCTTGGCTTCTAGTTCCATCCTCCCGCACTGTAGACTGTGACCTCCTGGGGGTCCGGGTCTGGGCTGCCTGCTTCTCCAGCAGCTCTCTGGTGTTTTTCAGCCCCGAAAGCTGCATTTCTGTTCATCCCTTACTCTCACACCTCCCCAAATTGCCCCTCCCGCCGTATTTTTTCTTACAGCACACTTACAGTTTATCTTTATCTTGAAATGTAATACTGCTGTCCCTACTTCCCATACCCACTTCCCATTTCTCTATTTCTTTTTATAACAGAGCTATTTGAGAGTTGTCTGTGCTCTCTGGTCTCTATTTCCCTGGACCCCATGCAGATCCAGAGTGGACGAGGCGGTAAAGGCAGGGAGAGGAGCCCGGGAGAGCAGGAGGTGTGGTTCGCTCACTCAACAGAGACTGCTCTAATCGAGGTTGCCTTGCCAAGGTCACAGAGCACTGCGTGTTGCTAAATCCAGTGGTCTTTCTCAGTCTTCCTTGTACTCAGCACACGCAGAGGGCATCCTGGATGCTCTCAGATAGATGAGGCTACACAGTCATTTACAGCTTTTATAAATCTAAGAGAAAAAAAAAAACACAGACACATGCCAGAAGAAAATTAAAAACAAGCTACCAGTTGGGATAAATACTTTGCTGTCAAAGATTAATGATCTTAGGGTACAGAGAGATTTTTCAATTTAATAAAATATATTAGAACTCCAAGCCAGGCACCGTGACTCATGCCTGTAATCCCACCTACTCAGGAGGCTGAGGCAGGAGGATGATAAGTTCCAGGCCAGTCTATGCAACTTAGTGAGACACCAAGGTGAAAAGGACTGGGGTTGGGGCTCAGTTGTTGAGCACCTCTGGGTTCAATCCCTAGTGTCTGTTTGTCTCTCTCTCTCTCTCTCTCTCTCTCTCTCTCTCACACAC